CCTCAGAAAAGGGGCGAAGGAGAGACTTGTGGAGTTACAGTAATAATAATATTAATAATAATGATGATGATAATGATGATGATGATAATAATAATACATTTTATTTGTGGGCAACTTTCTTGAAACTCAAGGTCACCTTACATAGTTTAGCATTGTAATTTTTTATTTTAGAATTGTCCTACTAAGTCCTACCCCAATTTCCATCCTGTTCAACAACATGTTCTGATCTAAAATATAAAAGTACTAAAACTTGACACCTTACGTGAATTGGTAATCAGCTTAACATGAATTAGTACTTCAATGAGTGCTGATTCTGTACTGTGATGAGGTCAGAACCCTGACTGAAATTTATAAAAAAAAATACAATTTATCTTCGAGAAAGGGCTGTTTATTAAATACTTAAATATACTTAAATACAGAAATAATAATTTGTTCAACAATCTCGGCTATGAAGGGACAATCTGGGTTGTGTCTGTAGTTGACTTACATATAAGCATCTGCTTTATTCTTTTTAAGACGGGCTTAATTAAATATAAGTTCTGTATCATTTTTGTTTTAAAGGTTTACACTTGTAAAATCTAAATATTGTGTCACTATGAACCTAGGCACACAAAAACAGGTTGATCTCTAGTGGTCAACTGGATCAACTCACCTGGACACCATTGAGTGACGCCACACCCATATAGAGAAACACACCGTAGAGCACAGGCATGGGAATGAACTGGAAAATAAGGAGTTAAAACAATATTAATGCCATCAGTGACTGAGTGTTTAAGATGAAAAACACAAAATAAAAACAGGACAAATTTACAGAAACCTTCATATGAATAAGTTCCAGTTCCAAGTAACAAGTGTTTTTATTTTCGGCATCACTGCCCATTTAAAAATAACCCACAAGCAGCTTTGCTGAGCCTCCTGACCTTTTCACAGTAGCCGTCAGTCAATTGTAGAGCTGCCACTGGTTTACGTTTTATTTACAGGTTTTGTTTCTTAGTAAGAGCTTTGAATCATCTTTAAAGGAGAAGACTTTGGCAAAGAAATACAAAAACATCAAGGATAAGCAAACTGGAAGCACATGTATGGAAGTCAATTTATTCAACTCTGAATAAAATAACAGACAAATTAGGTAATAGTTTTGAGATATGTTCTTAAATAATATCATAGTTAGTCATAATTTTAAGATAGTATCAATTATTATAAGCTGCTAAATCATATTCGCAAAAATTATTATCAGAAATTACCGTATTTATTCGTGTATAATACGACCCCCCCCCCTTGAGCTTAAAAAGCATAAAAAATTTAATCCTCAAACTACCTCCAATTTCATACAGACTTCAAAATTTTTCATCCTTTGCAGTCTTTATACATATCAGTAAAATGATCATTTTATTTTAACAACATATGTACTAAAAGG